ATGTTTAAGTACAACAAATATTTCAAAAAGAAGTTGATTTAATTTGCTCAAATAAAGAAAATGAAAATATTTATTATCAGATCCGTAATGGGGAACTGTGATACACCTTGTTACATGGTGTCCACGATCGCTGACATCAAGGATGACGACATCGAGTTTGAGGTTCACGGTGCCACGTGTTTTGCGGGAAAAACCCGTGGTCTGTACTGTACCTTTGATCACAAACACAACGAGTTGATCTAATTTATAGCATATAAGGAATCGTCTCAAACTCTGTCTATTTGTTTTGAAGTTGTTTATTTCGAGTAGTTTCCTTTATTTTCACAGTTGAAAGCCCAGATGCATGATACTTGATAGAGATGTTTCGAACAGCCAGTCATAAACTCCCTCCTCTTTTCACGGGGGCTATTGCGAAAAATAAACCAAAAGGACTTATTTGGACATTGCCCAGTTCAAAAATCATTGGGGTGTGGTTTGCATAATTAACCAAAGAACGGTACGGTTCGTTTCTTGCACGGAACGGTACGCTTTGTGGACGGTACGGTACGCTTTGTGCACGGAACGGTTGGCTTTGTGGACGGAACGGTACGCTTTGAGCACGGAACGGTTCGCTTTGTGGAAGATACGGTACGCTTTGTGAACGGAACGGTTCGCTTTGTGCACGGAACGGTTCGCTTTGTTCACGGTACGGTACGCTTTGTGCACGGAACGGTACGGTTCGTTTCTGAGGTGTAGTAGCACAGTTTAGGGTCTGTACCATGGCAACATGTCTTAAAGTTCGAAAAATGACATTTTTTAACATGTTTAGAGCCCCATAGTTAACATTTGCGGCAAAGCAAACAATTGGCAATGACTGTTTCCAAAGGTTGAAGGTCAGATGTCTCAAATGCATGATAAACATGTTTGGTAAATCAACTATTACATACATTACTATGGTAACAGAGTATTCAAAAGTAAAAAAAATATTCATTGAATTTAATAAAGTCATACACGTAAAAATAAAAAGCAATTATAGGATGAAATGTGACCAAATGATAGAAAAAAAGAGCCTTGAAACATATACCAAGAACAAAATATGATATTTCATTTTTGGCAATGGTTGCCAAGGTTTTTATACCACAGAGAGCCTTCAAAGTAACACTCTGTATGTTTAAATCTGATCCTATCTTTTAAAAAAAGCACATTTCCTCATAATATAGATCAATTTTTTATAAGATGATGGTGTGCTCCAAGTTTTCCCATTTGAAAAATTCAGATTAGATTCTTTAAATAGAGCGTTGCTATGGAAATAAGCAGAAAATATATGCTGAAAAACCTGAAAAATATATTTTTTCCTTGGATACGCATCCTTAAATGTAGATTCCCAAAACTTTTATGATTGATATTTATTAACAGCTAACTTAACTTTTAATTTTGACTATCATCCAATCTCTAAGTGGATGCAAGAAGTTGGCACACAGGGTTTAATATTGATATAAAGTTCACAAAATCGAACATTTTCCCTTCTTGGTTACCATAGCAACAGTGTTGTTTTATTCATCAAATTTTATCAATATATGATATTCAACTTCAGTTCTAACAGATAAGTACTATTCAATCTGAGCAATTTAATTCTTAATGCAGCGAAAAATAATTCACTTTTAAGCACTGGTACTTTGTTTCCATTGTAACACTGCAAAGTAGCAATTATACCCAATTTTTCTTATGGTTTTTGTGTTGCAAGGTCCTGAGGATGCATATTTGCCAGTCTAAAATTTTCATCTTTTTCCTCAAGACAGTAGCATTAACCCAATCTTAATTACTGGTTTTGCATGGTTACACTGTGTTACCATGGTAACCATAAAAGTTATTTATAGAATAATATTGCTTATACTTATATACTTAAGGTCAAACATTTTCATTGCTTTTCTTAAGTCGTTGATTGAGTTTGATCATGTAACACCTACCATTAGTGAATACGGAGTTTTTTTCAGCATATCTTAGCATTTTAAATGTATTCCAAATGTACCCTTGGTTACCACTTACTTAGAGATACATTCTAAACAGTTTCTTTACGGTATAAATGACATCAAGGTGTCATGTTTTTGTGAAAATGGTTTGTTTGCTTTTTCTAGTTTTTATTAAGCCACAGTCAAGATTTAAAGTGGCTGAAAATCTCGATTTTTCAAATTTTTCCGGCTGTTGCTATAGCAACCGAGACACATAGCAACGCATTATTGTTTGATATTTGTTTCTGGTGTCAAGTACTAAGCATGGGTGAAGTTTCATCAAAATCGGTGCCCATGCGTGGCAACGAAGTTTAAGTGGTTACAGAGAATGACTATTAATTTTTTCCAATTACTTTTTACATTTTTTGAACTTTCATTAGAGCTCATTTAAAATGAATGTAGTTCGTTACAACAACAAAGGATGATAATTATTCCAAAATGGGCATCATTTTAATTAATATTTAAATTGCTGTGCATGACAATGTGAAAAGAGACTCCATTTATTTCATTACTCAAAACCCCCTTATGTATACATCAGTTAATTGTTTTCTTTCAATTTACACGCTATTTTAGGAAAATATAAATACCCTACCCTTGTAACTCTACTTCAGGTATGAATATTTAATGACTTTAAATTTTCGACGAATTCCTCGACACGACTATTATTAAAAATAAAAAAAATGAAAAGTGCTATGGGTCTGCAGTCATTAAGAATATGAATTAAAGATATACGTAAATTTTTCACAACTAACTTGATTTCAAAATTAAAATCGTTTATAGGACCGCCGAAATTATGTGTGAGCAAATTACTAATCTCCGGCGGTCTGATGTAATAGAATTTCCAATGTAAATATGAATATACCTAAACATATGAAAATCACTTAAACTTTCTCTTAACAATAGAGTACGAGTCTAGCAAGTTCGTTCCGTTGAAATATATGCAAAAGAAACTAGATGCTGCCATGAGACAGTCATACCTGCACTAAGGTTTTTGCATCTCTTTCATACAGGGATTTCCAAGGAAAAAGTCAGAATAATATTATAATTATCACCAAACATGTATTCGTCAAATTAAGCATAAAATTCTTAAGTGACAATGTGAGCTATGAGCCTCTTATATGTATTTCATATACTTAATTAATTACCAGTCTGAAATAACAAAATTTAATTAAAGACGTTATTTACATTCCGATAATTTTTTGCCTATTATTGGAACTTTTAAAATTTAAACCTTTCCAATTTTATTATGACTTTTGACTCTGTGACTTTGACCTTGAATTACGGACAGATGATACAAACAAATTGTTTTTCTTTGGAAGATACTAAATAGCATGTCACAAGTTTAGAGAAGTGGATAATTCTTAGAATTTTTTCTCCAAAGAACTGGAAAATGAAATAGACTTGGAAAATTTTAGTATTATTGCAATGAGAAATCAAATATAGTCAAATCACACTCAGTAAAGGTTTAAAGATGAAAATAAATTTAAGAATATGTTATCTTGGTGCTAAAATTGTAATACAGTGTAAAAAGTGTAATAGAAAAATATACCAAGCCGGGTGAATTTCATGAGGAAAAACAAACGGACAAGAATTCAGCAATATCATATAGGCTAATTTTTACCATTTTGCTTGTCCTAATAAAATTCACCCGGCTTGGTATACTTTTCTAAAGTTTATATTACACTTTTAGCACCAATTTAACATATTCTAAAATTTGTTTTCATCTGTAAACCTTTACTGAGTGTGTTTTGTCCATATTTGTAATTTTATTGAAATATTGCTAATATTTTCAAAGTCTATTTGTTCTTATGTAGAGCATGCTCTTACGTATCGAATCAACTGAGATATAAAAACTCCTTATGCAGGTGATGAAGGTATATTACTGCATAAGTAAGGGAAGTTGACGATAGAAAGGTTAAAGTTGTCATGTTTATCATCAAGTTTTGTATGAATTGCAACATTTTTCTGAGTGTGTGCTGTGCTATATTTTGACCGAAGTGTTTTAATCATATTAAGACACCTGATTTAAAATTTTTGACATGAAAACACACAATTACTAAATGAACTATATTCAGTATATTTGGGTCTGGGATACCTACGGTTCTTTGGCACCTGATTCTGGTTTTGTTATTCTCGTAGTCAGTGTTTTTGTCCTTGTTACAGATTTGAAATATTTGTAGATTTAGGGATCAATAGCTGTTCGATATCTCACTTTTTTCTTAACTAGAGAAATTCTAAAAAAGAAAGCACATGAAATACTCCAACTGGCAAAATAATTACATGATTTACAATGAAATGCATAAATTTTAACAAACTTTCTAGCTTCTGATTGTTCAGCATTTTGTCAGCAAATGTTTATGTACATTTAAGTATTGATATTCATTTTCACCGATCGAACTGATTCTCATTCGGAAACTCGGTGGTTTGCCTGCATGCGCAACACACCAATCTTACTAAAACACACTATCCCCAATTAAACTACTTTAGTAATGAGTTTATTTGAGTTTGGAATACCTCCTGCTCCTCGGCACCTGATCCTAGCTTTGGTATTCTCCGAGTTAGAGTTTTTGTCCAGTTTACCAATCTGAATTGTTTTTACATTGTTTGAGATCAACTATAGCTTTTCGATATATTCTGATCACATTTTTTTTCTTAACTAGAATAATACTTGGATGAAAACAATTGTATGAAGTACTCCATCTGGTGAATAATTAGCAGAGTGCATGACAATGACAATGTTACAATGACAATGTATATAATTAAATAAACATTTTACGAGTTCTAGCTTCTAATTGTTTAGCATTTTGTCAGAAAATGTTATGTTAATTTAAGTATTGATTTTCATTTTTATCGAACTATTATCAATTTTAATTACTCAGAGCAAAATTCAGCATCGGATTGCTCATCCGAAAACTTCCTTCTTTGGGATTCTTTGGGATTTTATGGAATAAAAATGTGTGTCACTCCTCAATTTTAATGATCTTCTAAAAATGGGAAGCATAATGATTAAAACGTTTTCAAAACTTTTTTATTTTCTTTTTATGCTTTCGGGAGTTGCTTCCATACAAGATTGTTACTACAAGGAATTTCGTTTGCAGTTTTACGGAAACCTTTCTGAATCAAACTACCAAACCATTTTCTCGGCAGAGGGGATGTATTATGGGAATACGTTAAGTATGTGTACGGATTTTTGCACTGAGGATCTTCGGTGTATAGGAATAGAAATTTGTCAAGTAAGAGAGAATTGGTTCCAGTGTCGAGTGTGCTGTGCATGGTTAAAGACAGGGAAGAACTACACCTCTGAACAGCCCGGATGTAAATACTTTGAAACGGTATTATTTCAATTTTTTATAATTTTTTTTTTCATTTCCTTCTTGAATTAACATTAAGGTATCAAATTATCTGTGATTTTTTCACATAATATCTTTGCCAGCCATAAAATAATAAAATCGCTGATAATAAAGATAGACTGTATAGATAATAAATATGTTCCTTTCTAACAGGAGTATGAAAGCAGGCAGAAGCGTAAGTAGTATTTAGCTTAGATAAAAGTATATCATACATAAACTAACACAAATCGTTAACTCTGAAATCTTCCTGAGAAGGCGATAGACATAAAACATTCTCCTTAAAGTTTCCAAAATATAAAACAGTAAATTTATTCAGTCATATAATTTTGCAAATTCAAATTACACGTATCCGTTTAATCATCCTTAAGAAACTTATGCCGATTTCTTAGATGGACAGTTTATGCCAAGCACATTAGCTTTAACCCCTTACACGGCATATACGCATTTCTACGCATCTGACTTGAAAACCGAGTATAGTTTGAATAGCATTCACAACTTCGTTAATGCTACAAATATCAGAAGAAATCTTGCACCGTTGGAAAGAGAAAATAATCACGATAAAATACTATGCAGAATTTCTTTTTATTGGTTGTAACAGTTTTTTCGCTAGCTTGAGTTAAACTTTGCGCAATGTTTGAGTGATTTTGCCATTATCGAAATCAATGCGGGGGTAACACGTTATATGTAAAAATGCTAAATTCTGGTGATTACCTCCCAACCCAACCCCATCCCCCTCAAATACTTAAAATTGGTTTGTAAAAAATGTACATGCTCATAAATTTCAACACAATAATAAAATATTTTCTAATATCTTTAACTAAACAAAAAAAACCAGAATGAAACTCATTCTTGAATAAATGGAAATTCCAGCATGACTATGGTGTATTTCGTTGCCATGGTAACTGAAATGATATTTTTAAAATTATTTTCAGAAACTACACAATACCTGCTTTCGGAATATATATACATTGGTAAAATAGAAAAATTTAAAGAAATACTAAAAAAAATGCATTGAAACCTTAATATCAATTTGGCTAGAAATTTTTAAAATCATTGCTCTGGAAGGGGTTAAATATGCTGAGACACATATTCACGGAATTTTAGTTTTTATATTTGCTTATTTGTTGTTTAATGTTCTTCTCAAAAAGTTTTCACTCATATGGAGACACCATCACTTGCCGATGGAAACTTGCATTTAAACTTATAGTCGGCACTCGAGGCCACTTGACAGTGAAGGCTCTTTATTATTTTGTTAACACTTTTAATACACGGGACTTCGGTATACAAATGTATACGGTTTTTATCTTCTCCACGGTCTCCACGTCCCCGCAGTGGATATGCACCTACGAATGTATAACATGAGAGTCACGTTTTGTTCACCGTCACGAAATGTCCGCCTCTTTTTCGGAAATAACGTCACTTTATCACGAAAGGTCGGCCTTTTCCCCCACAAAATTGTCACACAATGTCCTCCGCAACGAAATGTCCGCCTTTCATAAAACATATCGTCACATTATGTCTGCCCTTACAAAATATCCCCCCAAGATTAAAAAAAACATATTTTATCAATTCTGTGTGTAAAATTTGTATCTTTAACCAAACTTTTAATAATGTATGCCTTCAGAATTATCCATCAATTTTAAAATATGAATGAAGTAAAAAAACATATTTTTTGATTTTGTATTTGTATGAGAAGAAATTATAATAATGGTCTATTTTAACAGAAAAATACACATTGGTTAAAATTAAAAAATGAATTGTTTTATAATCGAAGAGATATTTAGTTGAATTAAACATGATATGAGAGAGAGAAATAAATAGACTGCATTGTCTTATTTGAGATCAATCTGCTTAAAAATAAATCTGGACCAACTTTATGTATTAAGCTATTTGAAGATGTTAATAAAATATCAATATATGTTAATTTTTATTTGATATATATTTTACAACATGCATGCTGGTATTGCTTATTTAATACCCAATTTCCTTTTCAAACTGTTACATGGAGCAGCAGGAATCAAAGTAAAAACTGATACCTACCTGAAGCCATGTACAGCCAAGCAACGCGTTACCAACTGTATGATGTATTCACGTGATTTGAAAATATAAAAAGGAACAATTGTGTATTGGTGTTCAAGTCTGTAAAAGTCAACCTCTGTTAAGAAGTCTGAAATTTAGAATTTGGGTCAATGAGGATTGTATACTTCTGTCCCCGACAAATCGTTAGTCTGCGCGGGTATGTTAAGGAAGCATATAAATCAATTCTCGGGAAATTAGACTTTTTAAAGAAAATTAAATTTAATAATTTACCAAAACCACAGATAAACGTGAACTATTGTCAACTATTGCATAAAGATAAAATAGTGTCTAACGCAAAGACGTGCATCGCTACCACCGCATCACTAACTTCTTTTAATTGCGACATGTTCCTTAATAAAAAAAAAGCTTACAGAAAAACAATACCCCTAATCTAGTAATATCTTTCAGTAAATAATATTGTCGAAAAACTTCTATTTTGTCTTAAAGTTGCTGCTAGAATCCCAATGCTCTGTCAATAAAATAATTATTTCACACATTTGTTCGAAACCTTACCTGATGTTTTGAATTTTATACAAATGAAACGAGATCTTTCGTAAACGCATGCTTAACTCGGGATTCTAGCAGCACTTTCCAAGCATTTTAGAAGGCAAACTTTCGATCTGTACAAATCTTAATTTTTGAAATATCCAGCTTATTGTTGTTCTGTTGCATTATTTTTTTTCACAAATGACAGAGGAATGGCCGATCGGGATACATAATTATCTTATTGTGGAAAGAGAAGATAATCGATGAAAATTGAATTAGCATACCTGTTTAATTAACTGAACTCCATATGAATTTTACATAATAGTCACGATATTTGCTTTTAAACTCCATCTTACTTATCGTTGTGCATGCCGTCTAAGCCAAATTCTCTTTACATGGCATGATCAATTCCCAAGCTACTTGATGTACACATATGGCGTCATCGGTGGTAGATTTCAAAATGATAGATACAGAATAACAAAAAAAAAACATTTTATTTTTGTTAATGTTAACACGTTTCTATTTATGTTGTTGTGTTAAATTACATTTTTAAATACAAAATCATGTACCAATATTACGAAAATATGATGTCATAATGTTGCATTGATTTAGTCAACGTAGAAAAAATAGAGAATTCTGTATGCTTTCTTATTATCCCTGCGTGCTTTTAATTGCATTTAGGCAAAATAATTTTGACGACAGTTAAAAAGTGACAATTATTTTCTGAAGAAAAACGAGTACTTTCCTGAAGGCGGACATAAGAGACGATATTTTCAATCTGAACTATTGAAGGACATTTCTTATTTAAAAGTGACAAATTATGATTAACGGAAAAAGAAGAATATATCGAGGCAGCGGACATATTATGATGATTTTTTTTTAAAGAAAGGCGGTCATGTCTTTCATGGCGGCACACATAATATGACAACTTTTTGGAAGAAATGCGGAAATTTCTTGGCTGCAAACATTATATGACATTTTTTTTCGGGAAAAAAATAGACATTACTTAGCGATGGACTTGGCGGCGAACATTATGTGACAAAATTTTGGATAGAAAGGCAGACATTTTGTGGCGGTGGACATAGTGTGACGCGTTTTTTCGGAATTTTATTTTAAGTGAAGCAGCCTCACTCCCACGCATCTACGCACACACTATTTACCCAAATGGAAACAAATGGAAAATTAAATGGACCCAATTTGGAAATCAAATGGACCAAAATAAAATATAATACACATGCTCAAGTTGTTACTTTTTTAAGTGAATATAATGAACTTAAAAATGAAAATATTTTAACACATGTATTACTATTTTCCTCAATTTTATTTTTAAAAATAGGATTGTTTTTCCTACTTTAAATAGCTTTTGCATATAATTGAATACGAAACTGAGGTATATAGTTTCCATGGCTGTTTGGAGAGAGTGGAGGGGGAAGGGTGCGAGAGGCCATGCCCCCAATAATTTTGACGATATATAGAATAGTATGAAAAATAATTCATGTTTTAAAATACAATATTAGAAATTAATAATTCATTTAAAACTCCATTGGTCAGTGTTATTTCATCATTTTTCATCATTTTGAATAAGTAATAAAATATGATAATACACAGCTAATATTCCATTTGATCACCATTTAAGTTCATTTGTCTATTTTGTCCACCTGGGTCCATGTGGATCCATTTTGGGTAAACCGACGTACCGCTCGGATTCAAACATAAACAAACATGCGCGTGCAAGCGCAGAGTATATCACAAGTCACTAAAACGTCACTTTGTTACACAGATATGTGTGCTTAAAATAGCTTATGTTCATATTTAGGCTTAATAAAGAACGCTTTTATTCGCACATATTAAAACCATGTCTTCATATTGACATTTAAATGGATAATTAAGAATTTGTTCCCTGATTCCTATTGATAATGTTTTTTTTAATTTTTGTATTCCTTAAGCTTAAGCCATATGGCTTATTAGATTACATAGTCAGATTTAAGTATATAATCACAAAATATATAATAATATAGAATTTAAAGCACAGATAGCATAAACACACATATTAAATATTTATATATATACTTGTTTAAATAAGTAGACGTGATATGTATTTTAACTATTTGACTAATGATACTGTATTTCATTTGCAAAAGTGGTGGCGACGACAGCTAGTTCAAGTTCAGTGTTTGATGACAGTGCCAAATTTAAGGCTTCGAATGCAATAGATGGATCAGCAAGATGTGAAGTAGGAGATAATATCAATTTAACTCACACCAACCTGCAGATAAATCCGTGGCTAAAAGTCAGTTTAATCAACACCAGCATTGTTGAAAGAGTTTTGATTTACAATAGACAAGACTGCTGTGGTAAGAATTATTCAAATGTTGAGGTACAAAAACTACGGAAGCCCATTTAGGATCTATCGAAAATATTTTTGAATCCGATATAACGAATTGTCGAATTTGTAATAACGAATTTAATTCATTATAACCATTTCTTTGAATTTGTTATAACGATTTTAATCTGTTATAACAAATTCGTTTAATTCATTATAACGAATTCTTTATTTTGTTATAACGAACTGAATTCGTTAAAATGAATTCAAAAATTTGTCCTAAATGGGCTTCCGTAAAAAACACTTATGAATATTTTATGTCAGTGAAATACAAGATCTTTTCATAAAGATAACACACCATGAAAAAGTATCGTCTTGCTCATGTTCATTTCACTGATTCTCACAAATAAATGATTTATAATCTTTCTAGGTAAAGATTGATATGTTTACTTTTAGTTTTAATTTGAAGATGAGATGTATCGAATTCTATTTAAGTATTGATTATTATATAAGATATATCAACTTTCATTTTTCTTAATTTAATTTTTTTTTTTTATTTTGAATGAAACATATGGAGAAAACAAACAGTACTCGAGATCAAAAGTCACTTCTTTTTTCGCGTAAAACAACTTCTTTTATGGTATTTTTTTTGTCTTATTATTTGAAATGCTTTCGTTCTACAATTTTTATTGGAAAATCAGTTGAAAGTACACTTGTCTTTATGGGACTAGTAATGCTAATGCAATATTCTGAGAATGTTTGGATCTGTCATGTATAATGGAGTTTCTAAAAAATTGCAACAGAAGAAAAAAATCATAAATACTACATATTTCATACAACAACAAAGCCAATTGTATTAGATAATGATTTTTATTCTTTATCTATGACTGGGGAAAGCTCAATGCTTCTCTTGTCTAAAATATTGTAAAAAAAAAAAAATTCTGGTCTATTGACAAATCAGATATTAATTAAATGTTATCTAAAAAAAGGAATAAATTGACTGGCAAACAACGAGATCAAATTTATAGTTTCTTAAATGATTTTTATAATTCATTTGTTTTCCTTATAAAATGAATCTCTTGAGTACATGTAAAAAAAAAATCAATAAAGGAAAACAGGAGTAAACAAACTAAGTCATGTACCAGATTTACGGTTAATTCTTAGCTTCAAACACCTATATGTACATGACAGTTTAGATTGAATAAAATTTATAATTCAACAAGACAATATATTTCAATTATTTGGTGCAAGTATATTTCAAATTTCATCTAAGACAACGTTATTTTTCTTTAATTTTATTTTGTTACCAAAAGGTAAAGTGTGACCAAAAGAAGGTACCGGTAAGTGAATCTGTTTTTGTTGATATCCTGAATGAATAGTAAAAAAATGAAAAAAATGGTATATATTTGACACTTTAACAATATTTCAGGCACTCCCGTCTAATATTTGAAAATATTTATATTAAAAGGTGCTTTTTTTTTTTACAGGAGAACGGCTACATGATGTACGAGTAGATATCACAGAAAATGGACATAATGTTTCGTGTGGTTTCTACCCCGGACCAGCTGTCACCGGTGACCGTATCCTGTTTCTGTGTGAAAAGGATACCAGAGGGAATGGTGTTACAATTTCTATTTTATCAAAAGACGGACAACCTGACTCAGTGGCGGATTTAAGGGGGGGCGCACCCGGCGCGCCCCCCCCCCCCCTAAAATTGTCAAAGTTAGCGTAAATCAATTATGTCTACTTGGTAGACCTCATTTTCACCCTTCAAAATCTCTAGAATCCAGGAGCTACCGGGGGCTTCGCCCCCTGGACCCCCACCAGGGATTTGGTAGACCTCATTTTAACCCTTCAAAAACTCTAAAATCTAGGAGCTTCCGGGGGCTTCGCCCCCTGGGCCCCCACCAGGGCTTTGGTAGACCTCATTTTAACCCTTCAAAATCTCTAGAATCAAGGAGCTTCCGGGGGCTTCGCCCCCTGGGCCCCCACCAGGGCTTTGCCCTGGACCCACTGGGGGCCTCAAGGCGGCCCCCAAACCCCTTGACTATTTTGGCGCCCCCCCTAACTCCAAATCCTGGATCCGCGCCTGTGACTACCTTCATGCTTGTGAAGTAGAGATGTATGGCCGATCTTAAGAAAAACTTAATATTCACTTAGTAACGTTGATCAAAACCTTTACCTGTTTGTATATGTACTGTACACTGTACATGTACCTGTTTGATGCATTGAATAACATAAAAATTTAAGCGCATTTAAACAGGTTTTTGATTATCATTAAAGTTGAGCGATTTTATATCTTATTGTATAGGTCATCAATTCTTTTTGAAATTTAAAAATTCTCAAGAAAGAGAAAATAAGCTAGCGTTAAATGATACGAGTGAAAGACAAAAATATTGATGATCCAAATGTTTCCTAATATTATAATTATGTCGTTGCTGATAAATACAGATACACGTTTTTACTGATATCGTTATTCTAACTTTAATTTTACACCAATGACAATTTGCAAAATTTTGAAACGTAAAAATTAATCAACAGTTTGTTGGTCTTTATTCGCAAAAATAAACCTAAGTGAAAAAATCCAGATTTACAGTAATAGAATGGACAAAATTTCCTGATAATTATTGCGTGTTATGTTGATTAAATGTTTTGAAAAATAATAACCGATATTTTCTTTCAGAATCTCCTGGGATGTTACAAATTAAGCTATATATTAGAATATGCAAAAAGGAAAAGGTGGGCGTTTTACTCATCGATTTCATTTAAACTTCGCAAATTAAAAATTTATACGTTTTTTGAAACTTATATATTGTTTTAGAATCTTTGAACTATGATCAATATTTTTAGAATTAATGTGTGCGGATAATTATACTTTTTATGTGTTTGTTGTTCACATCGTTGAAAGAGAGAGAGGGAGAGAGAGAGAGAGAGAGAGAGTATGTGTCATTGGAATAGGAAGTTACAAAATATTAGATATTTTCATAATTATGCTTAATCAGGCTACATGTATATGACAAACGTGATGACTTTAACTTTTCTATCGTCAACTTCCCTTCCTTATGCAGCAATATACCTCCATCACCTGCATACGGAGTGTATATATCTCAGTTGATTCGATACGCAAGAGATAATCTACGTATGAACAATTTCTAAAACGAGGTAAATTATTGACAAGCAAGTTGATGAAACAAGAATATCAGCGGTCTCTTTTAAAGTCTTCATTTCGTAAGTTCTATGGTCGATACAATGACCTTGTCAGCAAATACAATTTTTCATAGAGTAAAATACTGACTGACGTTTTTCATACTAATAGGTTGTCCATCATAAATACAAAGAAACTAGCTGAAATCCCGCGCAAGCGCGGGATAAATTCATTACTTTTACTGCTAACAGCTAGAACTATTTTTCAAAAACTATCTGAGATTTATTACACAGGAATAGGCCTACAGCATTACGAAATACTTCAAAGTTCTACAATAAGTTTAGGAGGAGAAATAAATGATTGTTAGAAATACACTCCGTTTTGTTGGTTTTCTTTACTTCTACAAATATCATTTTCATTAAAGACCTCTTCTTCTTAAATGTTATAAAGCAACTTTATTCTGTTGTACATGCACGGATCTAGAGGGTGTCCTCCGGCCCCCCCCCCTCCCCCCCCCCCCCCTAAGTAAAAGTGACATTGGACACGCATCCAAAAAAAAAACCCTTCCTCGAAAACTTGGATCAAACTTGTCAAGAAATTTCTGGAATGGATTTTTTTTTGACTGGGGTCAACCCCCCCTCCCCCCCCCCCCCTGCTTTTGGAAAAAAAAATCTGGACCCGCGCTTGGTTGTACTATCTTATACATAATGTACTACATCTGCTCATCGGTATTTTCTCTTTATATGTTAGACTTTATTTTAATATAGTTTGAGCTACATGTGTATTATTGCTTATTATGCTTCAGATGGTCTGTTTCCATTTACGTCAAGAATAAGAGACTGAATTTACACAATTAACTATAATTTTCATATATTTATCAGCATTTTAAAATATTGAAAAAAACTTTGTTTTCATCCCATATGTATATACGGGCATAAAAGGTATAAATATATTTTTTTTTAAATAATGTATGCAGAATACTCATCAAGGAACACATTAAAGGTCAAAATTGTACCATTTTATATGTCTAAACAAATAAACATGGCCATTCATCGACATTTTTTTTTAATAAAACATTTGCACAACTTACTAAGATATATACACAAACTCACTGTGTCACCAGTTTCTTTACAATTATTTCCATGTCCGTTCATGATAAATTTTCTTTTTTAAATCGGGTTCGATGCCACTTGATTTCTAGAACTTTCAACAAATAGCGAGATCGGAAATAAACGGAAAGGATTTGCACATTTTGTTTTGTAATCAATGATCAGAACTTTTTTTTATACCACTTAAATCAAGTTTTGATTGAATAATTCATTAATGACGTTTTATGAAATAAATAAAATGTTTGCTTATCGTCAGCTTTTTTTAATGCCAGTTACTTAGATCCGCCACCACTTTACCCTCTTTAGTGCTATTTCCAGGCTGTTAACCGAAAATGAAAGTAGACTTTTAATTAAATTTATGATAATTACTATGCAAGTGAAATCTGAATATAGTTTACGGACATCATCTTATACCTAGTGTATTCCTACAGGCATAAGTAAGAACTCTTGTGCAGCCGTTTCAAAGTTTATTTGCAAAATTTGTTAATTTTTAAGTATGGATGGCGACGGATTTTTCCGTTATTTTCCAATAATGACAAGAAGCACATGGCGGGTTTGACCGGTCAGCAGGGGATGCTCACTCCTGCATGGCACCTGATCCCACCTCTGATGTTTCGAGGTCCTTGTTCGCTCTGCTCCTATTTTGTTTTGTTTTTTGGACTTTGATATTGAATACTTTTCGTTATCTCCATATCCTTTCCGTCACTCAGGGTTATTGAGCATAACACGGGGCCTCGGAGTTTCAGATCTCATCCAAAAAACCCACAATTTTGATTTTAAGGACAGATGATACAAACAAAAAACAATCAATACCTGAATTGGTATATATTTAACTGTTTAAAGATTCCCTTTCTAGGTTGTAAGGTATGCTAGGTTATCAACAATAGTTTGAAACATTGGATAATTTTCATAGATGGAAAAGCCTTTATGGCACCTCTTTTCACTTTTGGAAGTTTGATTTTACAGAAGTTCTTTTCTGATTTCTAATAATTTCTTATTTTAACATCTAAGTTGTCTTTAATTGACAGGAGATGAGTCGGAAAGCTTCAGGAACAATCCGATGTCTGAGAAATCGGCAGAAAGAATGAAAAATATTCTTCTGACTGGTATTATGGTCCTACTGTTATTGCTTCAATATTGCTGGTGGTATATTTGTGGACATTGTTTTGTAAAATTCCTTCTCCTTCTTTTGTGTCAAGAAGATAATTACATTATCAAATGAAAATAATAAAGTTGATTCACTTCACATTCAGAAATATACCAAATTGAAACATTTCGATTTACATTATATATTATTTTACTATAAAGTTAAACAAGCTAGCAATTTACAAACTTACTATTTTTACATCCACATGTTCTTTTTACTAATTGTCTGCTGTACCCAGCGCTACACAGATTAATTATTATTGATGGAAACATAGCAAAGGCGTTGCTTTGTTTTATACAAACGAGAGTGTAGGTTTGACTTCGAATTGTCATTTGTTAATAGATAAAGGACAATGCAACTTGATAACGTCAAAGCATCGACAATTTTCAAACACGAAAAGCAAATCAAGGTCTTATGTAATATACGCAAAAGCATGAATTGAAAGCTGTCACAAAATCTGAAAGTTACTTTAGATTTTTTCCTCTTCCGCAAAAAATTGGATTGAAAGTAAACGCAGGATACAATCAAAATACCATTCCAAAGTATTGATGTGAATTTTTTTTTAATTATTCAACCAATTAAAACGTTTTTTTATTTCTTGCCTTATACCGACATGTTCATGTAGACTCTTTTCTGCATTTTATCAAACTAATCAAAATCTTATGTATTTAATTGTATTTCAACGTTTAAACATTTCATAATTTCGTGTCAGATATTTGAAGGATATATATGCAACTTTTGTTCGGAAAGTTTTATTAAAGTAGTATTATAACCGTCGAATAAAACTGTTCTGATGACCTTAATTTCGAGCTTAGCAATGTATCTTACTCATAGTCACATATTTAAAAAATAGCATTCTGAAATTATTGCATTGGTAATACAAGTCCATTATTGCTAAATGTAATTTTTTCCCAATAATTTAAGAATGCAATGTAAAAAAATGAAAAAAAAAATCATCGGAGCGGATTAAAAGTAAAACTTCCTCCATAACACACCAGTGTTAAGTCGCAAACTGTACTTAAATTCATCTCAACATCTACAATGCTAAAAAAATTAATGAAAATTTAAAAGGCCATCGGTTCTGTAAAAATCATTGCAGTGGAACGAAATGCAACTTGATCTTAATTTGATTAGGGATAATATTCCTTCAGAGGTCAACAAATGGGATGATAGTGCACATGTAAGGGCGACTTAAAAGGCTTTGATTCGTTCACATAATCACCTACTCCGATCCAAACCTTGTTTTTGGCAGGCATCTGAGATTTTACATTTTTAAGATTTTTTGCGGTTTTTATATTTCAGGTAGTTGTTTTTTTTTTTTTATTTTCACTTTTTTACCAAAAGGTTAGTTAAGAAAATATGTCAAAATTGTTAACAAGATGGGGTTTTTTTTATTCTACATGTACATGTAGTATGAATAAATTTTACATTTTCTTAACATTTATTTCCTGACCTTGTCAACTCTGTACGATATTATTAGTATGTTCCATTTGGGCAATGATAGTGATTGTTTTTCATCCTTCTAGAAAAAATGACTCTCGTATATTTTCATTAAACTTCTGTTAAAGTGGAAGTACTATTCAGATCTGCATGTACCTTACAAATATCCTCAGGAGGAACTTAACGTTTTTGTTTTAAAAAAAATTATCAGAATTACCCGCTACTTATTTCGGCATTTCTGCATTTGATACAACAAAGTCTTTTAATGAGATGGAAAAAAATCATAAAATTTAGTTTGTATTTTACAAGGCTCGTGATTTTTTATTTGTGAGGGAATATCCCTTTCTTTTCAGATAGCCGTTATATTGCAGAGAAATTAATTAAACTTCCTTGTCTTGATGAAAGTTTTTTCATTATTGGAAATGATCTGAAGAAGAAGCTATCATGAAGTTGATTTCATATTACCAACTCAAAATACATACTTTGAAAAGATTATGCAAAGATAAACTTATTAAGTAGTTTTAATTTTATGAAATTTTTATGAATCTCAGAGCAGATTGTCAATACAATTTTCACATGGATATAAAAAATACAGTTTGTTTATTCCATACACAATAAGTCAAATACAGAGAACTCATATAACAATAAAATAAAGAGCCCGAGTGACGCATTAAGTAGAACGTCTGCTATAGAATTTTGAAGAAAAGGAGCTAGAATCACACTATGGATTGTGGAAACCGTTTCTTCGATGAGTCTGATGGAGTTGAGATGCTTGTTGCATTATGTACCGGCACGAAAAAAATCCTCACTACTTAATGGTCATGATTGCCGATTATAGAACAAAAGAATTGCGTGCAATAGTATAATTTTTCTACCGACTACCTTAAAGTCAATTTCAAAAGTTAAGATATTTGAGAAGGATATGGAGATAACGAACAGTATTCAATATCAAATTCCATAAAACAATACAAAATTGGAGCAGAGCAAACACGGACCTCAGAAACATCAGAGGTGGGATCAAGTGCCATGGAGTCGTGAGCATCCCCTGCTGACCGGTCAAACCCGCCGTGTGCTCTTTTGTCATAATCGGGAAAGAACGGAAAAAACTTTCGTCAATTCAGTGTATGAATAATGGACTAACAATTAGAATGAAAAACACTAGTCAGCATTTGACTCAATGATAATTTTTTTTTTTAGATATTTATATTGATAATCATATGGATTTTCATAAAACATTATTTTTTGGGGGAAAACAACGAGAAATAACTCTAAAATTTAGGTAAAAGTCGCGTTATTCACTATTGAAAGCAATGAGAAAGGGAAAATATTTTAGACCTCTCTCACCCCCCCCCCCCCTGTGATAGAAAAATTCCTTTTTACGGGTTACATTGACTGTCATTTCACATACCAAAGCTTTTTTGTGTTTCAGATGGGTATATATGTTTGTATACAAAAAACGAAAAAAATGCTTATTTTTTCAGCAATTTCCAAGTCCTTTTCAATTGAAACATTGTGTTTTACTAATGTAATTATGCTTTTAAAGTCTTTTAAAACATTAGAAAAGAATTTAAAAAAAAACATTTATTCATATTCAAGACTATTTCACAATATGGTAATGGTCTATAGCCCGATTTATGTACTCCCTACATTTCAAGAGCTGGAATTAAGGGTATTGTATTATTTAGCACTGGAATTAAATAATTAATCTATTACCATTGAACTATTCTTTGTATTAAACAAAGATTTTATGGCCAAATTGTCAGTAATATTGCAAAAAGTTTTGTAAAATGTAGGCGGGAATTGGGAGTTACCGTGCGTGGTTTTTTGCAGCTCCCCACATGTAAGCGGTGAAGCTCCATATGAGTGATAATTTCTCGGAGGCTAAACAATAAACAAATAATAAAAGAAAGAAGAGTAGTAATGTTTCATATGCAATAACACTGTGTTTGTTATTATTACTTATTTCGACGTCAAAAAATGTATAGGGAAATTACTTTTGCAATAGTTAACATTTAGAGAATCATTGGTGCCATTTTTATCCTCAAAGTATTGTGCAATGCAGCTAAAAACGTGATTTTAATCCATCATTATTAGATTCTGTTCTAAACACTGATAAATCACAAGGTAAAACTATACAAAGAGATGCGAGAAGTATGCTTCCATGTAGACGAAAGGCTACAATGGTTGTCTAGTCTTTAAGCAGATTTTAAAGATTTATTCATTATTTTTATTCAACTATCATTTTTAATAGAATAAAAAAAATGTATATTTATTATGTTGGAAATTATATGCACAAACATGGGACTCATGAACCAACGTCATTGGTAATATAACATCCAAGATTTATATTAAACGTAATGACTTTAACTTTTTAATTGCAAATCTACCTTACTTATACAGAAATATACCTCCATCACCTGCATACGGGTTTTACAACTTTCAGTTGATTCGATAGACAAGAGCAAGCTCTACGTTTGAGCAATTTATAACAAAAAAAGGAAAAAAGAGGTAATACTTAGTTATTGACAAACACGTTCCTGAAATAAGAATATCACGATCAGCATTCTCGTTTAAAGTCACCATTTCGTTCTATGATCTATACAAATACAATTTATCACTAAGTCAAATGTTGACTGAACGTTGTCTTACTAACTGTTAGACAATTTCATAACCTGATAATCCCTTATTCCATTATTTTCCAAGCATGTACGATGGATGTGGCCGCTTGGCATTGAATGCTCACTTTTCTATGGCATCATATCTCACGTCTGATATTTTAGATGTCCTTGTTTGATCTGCCCCAATTTTGTATTATTTAATGACCTTTGCTTGACTGCTGTTCTTTCTTCATAAATTTTATGTTATACCTCTATATCACCTGATTTTGGTGTTTACAACTTATTTGCTATTTATACAGAAGAGCTTGCCTTTACTAGGGTCAATTTAACGCGAGCCAGGCTAATCACTGATAATTTGATGTTACATGGATTTCAACAGACGCTTTTAAAATCAGCATTTTGTAAATGTGTAAATAGCATTTTTCTGTCCCTTCATGCTAAAAGACAAATAATGCTTACATGCAGTATTCTTACATGTATGTACTCGTGTGACGTATTGGTTGATTATGTGTTGTTTTACCTAGCTTTTACTTGATTTTCAGGGCCATTAAACAATGAGGTATCTTTATCCTGCTAGCACATATTACGACACGGGGCCTCTTCAACTTATTTTTGTTAACATGCAAAACTCAAATTAAAATAAGCAAAATAAACATGACAACATGTGACTATTTTGTCAATATGAAAGACATATAAGCCAACTTGTGACTTATTCGTAATGTTATGATGACATGAATTATCTTGCATGTTGACATAAATGAGTTAGCATTCTGTATACTGCCATATGATAGTGTTGGTATGAAAGTTTACCAGCTTTAAAATTAGATTTTTTAACAAGATTGGTTACTTGCATGACAACCTTATCACTGCATAATATTAAAAT